ATTTTATGACTCCTTTCACAGAACTTAAAGTCACAGTTAATCTCAAAATGTTTACAATGTAATAAAGAAGTTGTACACACACATATGAAAAAGCAGTATCAATTAAACACAAGAAATTCTAGATTAAGTTGGTAATATAACATGCTTAAGGACTCAGAAAATGGAGATAAATGTAGTCTGGGTCACTTAGTTAAAGCTTTGTTAAGTAGTATTATATGTAAACTCTGCCTTAAATGAACGATTGAAAGGACAGAGATGTTCGGTTAAAGTGCCGAATATTTATATTGAGAATAATAATTTGTATGAAATAATAACATTGGCAGAATCAGTGTTTATGGAAATGAATGAATGTGTCACTAGATGTGGGGGATGAGGTAGCTGAATGATGGGTGGACACAGTGTGTAAGCTACAAGAGCTATTGATGAAATGTGGCAAATAAGGATAGAGAGAGAACAAATATTAAACTTTTCCTGGAGGAGAGCATTGATTCTTTAATATCATGAAGTGATGACCACTGACCCCCAACAAATATAACTAGATTTGGAAATGATCCAGAGAATGTGACCTTAAATAAGTAAACAAACAATGGAAAGCTTCTACCTGATAAAATGGTAGAAGTCTCTATGAAACAAATTAGACAGGATGCATGATGGATATTTATCAAATCTCATAATATGGTCATAATTATTAGAGTATGATCAACAAAAATTATAATATTAGAAAAAAAGGAGACATATAAAGCTTGAAATAGTATTCATATAAAGGAGGAAAATTTAATATTTCATTTACAATTAGTTATAGAAACTTTACTGATAGCAGAATGGGTTAATAGAAATGTGAAGATGATATACATTGGTTAACTTATCAAGGAAATCAATAGATTTTTATTTCCCTGGCTTTCCAAGAAAATTTTCTTTAAATAGTCTCCTCTTTAATGCTTACTGACTTGTGTACATTTCTAAATTATGAATTTAACACACTTATCGTGTTATTTTCCAAAATTCATTCCACCAGTATAATATGTGTACGTTGTTGTTGTTGTTATATGCCATCGAGTCGGCCCCGACTCATAGCAACCCCTCCTTGGGTTTCCTAAGCAATATCACTACGGAAGTAGGATTGCCCAACCTTCCTTCTGAGGAATAGCTGGTGGGTTTGAACAGCCAGCCTTCTGGTTAGCAGTCAAGTGCCTTAGGCACTATGCTACCAGAGCTCCAATATGTGTATATACATACATATATATGTTGTTGTTGTTGTTGTTATGTGCCATTGAGTCAGCCCTGACTCATAGC